GGCCGCTCTCCCTGCTCCCCGTCCAGCGCCAGAGGGGGACGTGGGCACCCCAGGACGCCGGGCACTCCCTCTTACTCTCTTTCCATCGGTCAGCCTGTCGGAGGCAGGCTCAGACACACCCGCTCACGTCCGCACTCACTGATCTCGGTCCGGTCGCCATGGCATGAAATGTACCCTGTAGTTCATGTTCTTCTCAAGCCCCAACCACCCAGGAGGCTGCGTGACAGGAGCCTGATTTCCGATGCACGTCCAGCCTTGTAACACGAACATACGCTCCCACCCACTCTGGACTCAGCCCCTCCACGCGTCCCACAGGCTGCGGGGCGCCCCTGTCCCTCACGGAGGGTGACGGATCCTTCGTCACCGTCGCAGTGCACCTCGGTGTGAACCCGTGTGACGACCTCGAGCTCCTTCTATGACTTTCCTTTCACGCATCTCAGGACGCGCTGCCATGTCAACAACTAACCCAGAGTGAACACACTTGGTTCTGGGGCTGGAGACGAAGAAGGGTATTTGCCTCTGGGTTCCCAGGCCCCCAGGCCGGCCCCTGTGCACGAGCTTGGGGAAGGCTGTGGTCCTGTGGTGCTGATCACGCGTCACTCACTGCACAGACCACAGCCGTCTGAAGTCAAACGTGCTACTTATAGGGTTTCCTGCCACGTACAGCCTTCCCATCACTGCTCTCCAAAATGGCACTTCTGAGAGGAAAACATAAGGAGGAGGCCTTGCAGACCGCCACTCACACAGTCACCTGGAGGAACATCTTAGACGTATGAGCCAGTGCCCAGGAACAGATATGGAGAGAGGCCCACAGTGCGAGGAAAGAGAGGATGTGTTTAGAAGAAGCGTCAGAGACAATGATGATAATTCACTTAATAGAGACGGTCAAGTCATTCTGATTTGAGGGCACTTGGCACAATTTGCCACCATCTCGTGAGCCGGGCATGCCCCTCGGCCCGGGCTCGCCTGCCACAGTCCTCAGGGCACCATGGCTGCTCCCCTCCAGGCCTGGAGCCAGGAACGGTTTGCTTTTCCCTGGGACACTCCTGTTAGGAAGGGAACTGTCTCTCACCTTGTGGAGAGGTCAGTGGTAATTTTGTTTTTTTTTTTAAAAACTGTATTAAACAATATTTGCGAAAACACGAAAGGACCAGAGCATACTTTATAAATAGCCGTATCAAGCACAGAAGAGAAGAGGGGGGGGTCACGTTTCTGGGATCTTGTTGGTCCCACACCTAGTTCTCTCTCTAGAGCAGTGGTTCTCAACCTTCTGGCCCTTTAAATACAGCTCCTCATGTTGTGACCCAACCATAAAATTATTTTTGTTGCTACTTCATCACTGTCATGTTGCTACTGCTATGAATCGTCATGTAAATATCTGATATGCAGGATGGTCTTAGGCGACCCCTGTGAAAGGGCCGTTCGACCGCCAAAGGGGTCGCGACCCACAGGTTGAGAACCGCTGCCCTAGAGGGTGGGTGGGAAAGCGCTGACCCGCCTAGCCGGGTGACAGAGATGCAGCATGATGGCTGGGGGGACAGAGTTCTCCTCACGTGTACAGACAGGAACAAAGCCCACCAACACTGCTGGGCAGACAGCACAACTGCGCCCCCGAAGCAGGGAGTGCAGGACAGAATCAGGGCAGAATGAACGGACGGACACACTGCAAAGGGCCAGGCACCTCTGACGGCCTGGGTCCCGGGCCACGGCAACACAGAGCTCACCACCCGCCACCAGCCCTGCTGCCCTTCCCGTGAAAGACGCTTTCTCTGCTGGTCCCTGGCCCCAGCACCTTCTGTTCCTAAACACTGGGGCGCAGTGAGCACCGTCCCAGACACTGTGTCCCTGGAAAGCTGAGCACCTTCCCTGGTTATCAGGCGGAAGAGCTGGGGGACACGCGGCTGGTCTCTCCCCCAGAACGTGCTCCCCTGGCGCGATGCAGAGGACTTGTAGTTAGTTCTACGGGAGCACTGGGATTTCTGCCCCATTCTAGTTCCCTCCCGACAACCCCAACCTGAAGCCACATCTGACTGGCACCGCGTCCCCTGGATCCCACACACGCGCTAAAGAGGGGGAACCCGTTTCACGGTCACACAGCCTGTAACAAGCACCACTTCATTTCAAAAGTGTAATTTTTTTAAAGCAAATCAAATGATTTCAGGTGTTTACAAAAAATCGTTGTGGTCACAGCGTTCCATAAACACTGGACATGCTCTGAGAAGTTCTCCTGCATCACGAGAAGTCACAGCGTAGGCCGGAGGCCACCCTTTTCTTGTTCCTGTAAGATCTGCTTTTAGTTTCACATTTAACATTTTTCTCTTGGTACCAGGGACAAGAGAGAGCCTCCATATTTATGCTCTAACTCATCTTATGTGCCACAGGCAAAACAGTTCCCTCCCTTTAGACTCGGTTACATAACTGACTGGGTGTGGCCACCATGCAGGAGTCAATCAATGACTCAACAAACAGGAGTTCCCACTATGCGCCAGGCAGGGCCAAAGTGCGACAGGAACAGCTCCCGTCAGGGCTCCAGCCTTCAGGAAACATTAACTATGTGGCTGAGGTGAGACGAAAGTCGCCTGGAGCACTTGCCAGGGGGAGTGTCCTTTGACTTCCTACCTGTCTTTTGGGGCGCATCCTCTCACATGAATAAAAGGACCAAGGACTCTAACCCTGCCAAGACTTCCCCCAAACATCCCGGGACCTCCACTGGGTATAGGGGTCGCTGAGCTTGTGCCTGAAGGTCAAGGAGCAGGAGAAAGCCTAGGCCTGCGGTTCCTGGGAGTTCTTAGGTCCTGGGGCCAAGAGCCAGAAGTGGGCCTCGCTCAGGAAACTGCAGCAGCGAGGACTCTGCATGGGCAGCCGAGCATGGCAGCTGGCACAGGCGCTGTCTGGTGTCCTGGTGCCCATACCTGGCTCCAGCCCCTGGGCCACCACTGCCTCATGCACCCTCCTCAGCCCCCCTTTTCAACCAGCCCATCACGACTTCCTGTTTATCCGCACCCGTCCGAGCTTCCACACCTTCGCTCATGCTATTCCGAGATGTCCTTCCTTCTCGTCTCTCTGCTTTTCCAGTTCATATACATTCTGTCAGTTCATTGACAATGTCACAAAGCCTTCTTTCATTCATCACCCAATCAGAGCTTTCTTTCTCCCCTGAATCCCCACACACATCATCTATGGACATAGTTATTTTCCACCGACCATCACATTATAACTTGTATGATAGTCACCTCTTTTCATCTGTTACCTGCCCTACGAACGGAAAGGTGCTAGAATTCACAGCCCAGGTCTTACCGACGGTCATATTTCTAGCATCTCACTGCCTAGGTAACTTCATGGTTTTGACACGGGGTTCTGCACAGCGCCAGGGTTCTGGAAAGGCGTGCTGACCACCTGGTGGGGGGGAGAGCACTCTGGGGCTTCAGTCAGATGGGTTTTTATTTTGTCTATTGACTGTGATGGATATGAGTTCTTTCCTTTAAGGATCCTGCTGGAGACAGGAAAAGCCACTGCAATAGGTACTGTCCAGTGAATGAACAGAATCACACCCAGTGACTCTAGTGCTTGCTCCCTTCAGGCCTAATGAAACCCAGCAATCAACAATGAGTAGCACAGGTTCAGAGTGCCTGGCCACCGAAGACCGTGGCGATACAGAGGGCCCTTGCTCCTCTCCCAACTGGCCTCTCATATTCGAATCTGATGGAAGCCCCTCCAGCACTGACAGTTGTGTTAAGGGTTTAAGAGAATCACCCTGGCCCCTGGTTCTGTTGTGGTGTGTGTGGGTGTGTGTGTGGGTGTGTGTGTGTGTGTGTGTGTGTGTGTGGTGTGTGTGTGTATATGTGTGTGTGGGGTGTGTGTGTGTGTGTGTATGTGTGTGTGTGTGGGTGTGTGTGTGTGTGTGTGTGTGTGTGTGTACATCAGCACACCCTCTACACTTTGATCTCCAGGGCACTCCCGGGATGTAGGAAAGAGATGCAGATTATGCTGATATCTCTTGATCCCTCCTCCCTCACAGATAAATCTACTTCCTCCTCCTTCAGGCTTCCCTGTCACTGAAAGGCACTAACCCCCATTCCGTTGCTCAGTCTAAATAAAAATCGAGGCATTTGCCTGGATTTCTCTCTTCCCTTCACTGCCCACACCCAATTTATCAGTAAGTACTGTCCACCTCTTCCCCCTGTTCTCAAGCAGCTCATTCCTCCCCGCCACCCTCTGCGACCAGCCGGGGCTCAGGGCACCACCCTCTCATCCCTCTGGGACTGTCATCGCCTCCCTGCGATCTGTTCTCTGCACAGCAGCAAAAGTCATGTTTAAATCTCTCCTATTTTTAAAAAATATATTCTTATTGATTTCTGAGAAGGGAGAGGGAGAGAGAGAGAAACATCAATGATGAAAGAGAAGCATTGATCGGCTGCCTCCTGCACGCCCCACACTGGGGATCGAGCCCGCAACCCGGGCCTGTGTCCTGACCGGGAATCAAACTGTGACCTCCTGGTTCATAGGTCGATGCTCAACCGCTGAGCCACACCGGCCCAGGCATAATGAACGATGTTTCAAAATTTTCAGCATCCAAGTACATACAATTCTCTTAATTTAACTTGGTCAATTTCCTTTTGTAATTCCGTTTACTTTGCATATATTTTGGTTTGCTCTTAGGTGGAAAGTGATTTAGAGTTGCTATGTCTTCTGGACGAATTAAATTATTAAATTATAAAAAAACAACAACACCCCACACCTCTCCTATTAAAAACTCTCTAAGAGTTGCTCTTCAAGCACAGAGTAAAACCCTGCCTGGTAAACAGTAAAAGGGAGGTGCACTTTTTATTTCAGTGAAAACAGCCCAGCAGGCTGTGATAAATCACTCAGTAGGCAAAGGGGCTCATTCTGAGAACCTTCCCTCGGGGAGTTATCCTCTCCTCAGGAAGGAACGTGAGCGAGTGGGGGACCCAGCCAAGGGCCAGGAGGGCCGCGCACCCCCGCAACCAGGCGCGACTTACGGCTTCGGACTTGGGAGGCACTGGAGGTGGAGGTAGGGCGATCTCCGCAGGCGGCACGGCTGCTCCCAGCGGCGCGGGCAGAGGAGAGGGTGCGCACTTGGACCGGGCCGGCCCTCGCGGCTGCTCGCACCGGCTCCTGGCGCTCAGCGAGCGGGCGAGCGGCGGGTGGCCGGCGTGGCCTTCCTCCAGCCACAGCTCCTCGTACGGAAGCTCGGGCTTTGCCGGGACCCCCGTGGACTCCTCGCTGGATTCGGGGAACAGGTAGTCGCTCCCTCCGCTGTCCCCCGGGTCCTGATAGGGCAGGATGTCGTGGGGAAACGGGGCCCACTCGCCCCCCAGGTTCCTGCAGCCGTGGAGGTTCACCTCGCTGTTGCCATGGAGATTGTTGCCGTAGACGCAGACGGAGAGGCGGTGGAAGGACTGGGTGAGCTCGTCGCGCGCGTAGCTGAGCGAGCTGGGCACGTGGCTGTGGCCGGGGCACCGGCCCTTCTTGGGGCTCTTGCAGTCCTCGCTCCAGTCCGTCTTCACGTCGCGGACGGCCCGGGAGTACTCGTCGATGTCGAACTGCTCCTGGCAGACGCCCAGCCAGTGGTGCACCAGGGCCTCGGGCCACAGGTCCCCCTGGCCCAGGGGCTCGGGGAGGCTGAACTTGGGCACCGTCAGGTGCAGCGGGAAGTGCATGGGGAGGACCTTGTTGCTGCGCAGCACGCAGCACACCACCACCGTCTTGGTCTGGATGTTGACGAACTTGTAGCGGTGGCCCTCGCGGATGAAGTGCAGGTCGTAGGGGTTCCGGGGCGGCGGGCTGGGCACGGTCACGTTCACGGGCAGCCGCGTCTTCTCCACGATGTGGCGGATGGTGTGCTCGCCCTCCTGCATCTGCAGCTCCAGGGGGCTGCGCGTGCTGAAGCGGCCCTTGCACTGGAAGGGCAGGCTGATGCTCTCGTTGGTGCGGTGGTTCATGCAGATGAGGCAGGGCATCTTGCCCTTGCCCAGCTTGCCGATGGAGTTGAGCTTCCCGATCTTCTTGAAGATGGTGTTGAGCCGCGACCTCTCCTTGAAGGTCTTCGCGTACAGGATCTCCGCCTGCCCCATGAGCGTGAGCTCGTCGCCGGTGCACAGGGTGATGTTGTACACCTCCGTGTCCTCGTTGCATTCCCCCGAGGCCACCTGCAAGGTCAAGCACACGGCAGGTTAGCTTCCGGTCGCCCCGGCACCGGGCAGCAGAGCCTGCCTCGGGAGACGCACAGGCGCAGGCGCTGGCGCACGCGCACAAAGGGAACATGTGGTTTTGGGTAGCACCAAATTTAGCCGCTCCATTTAAAAAATAATATTTATGTGGCTGACGATCACAAGATGACGTTAGTTTAGGCTTTTAAAAATACACTTTGTTCCGAAGAAAAAGGAAATCTGTGCACTAGTGAACATGTGGGAAATACAGAGGAATAAGACAGAAGGAAAGGAACCCACCAGCCGAAGTCACGGGCGCTATGGCGGATGGCTTGCTCCCTCTCCTCCCAGCTTCTTTTCCTGTGTAGCAGCCTATCAGATGGATCCTTATTTTGGGACATTAATATATTTAAAAAATATTTTTATGATATCTTTTTCCAGTTATAAAAATTGCTTTCATAAACAACCACTATAGAAAATTCATTTTTTTTTCAATGAGAGGGGTGGAGTAAATTTAAAAAAGTTCTTTATTAAAAACGATTAAAATTTTCCTAAATTTTCTAAAATTGGAATTGGGACAGGTGCTCATTGGAAGAAATATAAGAATGAACAAAGTTGATACAGTCTTACCACTAAAAATAATCTATGTTAGCAATTTTACATGAGTAGAAATTAAAAAATGAAATGTATCAAATTACCTCGGAGATATAAATACACATGCACACAATTTTGTTCCTGAGTTTCTCACTATAATTTATTCATCTTCCCATGTATACATATATACCATCAATTATAATATTGAAGTAACATAGGCCATTATATATGGTATGCCTTAGTATCTTTGACCAGTTCCTTATTGTTAATGAGTTTTCCTAATGTTTAGCATTAAAATTAGCACTGCAATGAATTTTTAAAAAATATGTTTTTATTGATTTTAGAGATAGAGGAAGGGGCAGAGGTAGAGAGAAGAAACATCATCTATTGGCTGCCTCCTACATGATCCCTACTGGGGATTGAGCTCACAACCCATGTATGTGCCTTGACTGCGAATCGAACCCTCAACCTTTTGGTGTACAGGATGACGCTCCAATTAACTGAGCCTCCTGGCCAGGGCTGAGATGAGTTTCTTAAAATCATAGTAATGTGTCTTTTCAATTCTCTAAGTTTCTCCAAAGAAATAAAAATTAAAAAAAAATCAAATGCTGTTTCTGTATTCAATAAGATGGCTATATGCTTACTTTTTTTTTTTTTTAAAAAAATATATATTTTCTTATTGATTTTTTACAGAGAGGAAGGGAGAGAGACAGAGAGTTAGAAACATCGATCAGCCGCCTCCTGCACATCTCCTACTGGGGATGTGCCCGCAACCAAGGCACATGCCCCTGACCGGAACTGAACCTGGGACCCTGCGGCCCAGGCCGCAGGCCGACGCTCTATCCACTGAGCCAAACTGGTTTTGGCTATATGCTTACTTTTAAAATTTTAATGCACTACTGTTATATTAGTAGATTCCCAAATATTGAAACAACCCTACATGCCTGAAATAACCCCCATATTATCATGCTGTTAAAGCTCTATTGCACCATTCTCTGGTAATATTTGATCTGTGATTTATGTATCTTGCAGGTGACATTACTCTATCGTTCCTATTATGTTATCTTTAGAAGGTTTTAGTATCAGGCTTACATGAAGCCTGAGATCGACTTTCTTCTCTTACGTAAATAAAAAGGCACCTGGGAAGAGGGGCTGATCGTGTTCATTTCGCTTACTGAGCAGTAACATCAGTCCGTGTTTAGGACGCCGGGTGGTAACACTCTTTGTAAATGACCTCTCACCCGCTCCACTCTTCTTGCTCATCTCTGCATAATCGTAACCTTTGGAACAAGCCAGCTCTCCGTCCACATTTGTGCCATAAAAACAGCTCTGTTGTCTTCATAGAGCAGTTAATTTCTCTACGGGAGGCATTATCAGTGCATGAATAGCAGCACCATATCGTTTCAATGGCAATTGAGGCTCCGAAGGTTTAAAATCCACTTTTGGTGACTCAATGGACTCAAAGTTAAGTATAATTTTTAAGACTAAGATCTCAGCTTACCTGGGCTTACTTTCAGACTCAGCATTCCCCTTGCCCTCACATAGATCCTGGGCTTCTCTACACTGGAGTACGTTTAGGAATGTCAATAAATAAATAAATGTATGTTAGCTTTTTAGTGCACAAAATTCGTGTATGGGAAGCAGGGGGGGCGGGGGGTCCCCTCAGCTCGGCCTACACCCTCTCCAATCCGGGACTCCTGGGGGATGTCTGACTAAACCGGCAGATGTTTAAACTGGCAGTCAGACATCCTTCTCACAATCCAGGACCACTGCCTCCTAACCACTCACCTGCCTGCCTGCCTGATCACCCCTGACCACTCTGCCTGCCTACCTGATCACCCCTATCCCTCTGCCTGCCAGCCTGATGCCCCTAACTTCTCCCCTGCCTGCCTGATTAACCTCTAACCACTTTGGCCTGCTGGCCTGGTCGCCCCTAACTGCCCTCCTCTGCCAGCCTGGTCACTCCTAACTGCTCTCCCCTGCTGGCCTGACCGCCCCTAACCATCTCTGCCTCGGCCCTACCACTGTGGCTTTCTCCAGAAGGACATCCGGATGAATGTCCAGAAGATGTCCAATCTAATTAGTATATTACCCTTTTATTAGTATAGATAATTGTGGATTTGCAGGAAAGTTGTAAAGGTAGTAAGAGAGTTCCTGTATACCCTTCACATAGTTCTCCTGCTCACATCGTATATAACCCTGGTGCATTATCAAAACTAAGACATTAACATCGACACAAGACTGTTAACTCCGCGACAAGCTTTGCTTGGATTTCACTAATATTTTTTTCCTTTCATGTCCTTTTTTTCTGCTCTAGGATCATACCAGCATACCACATCGCATTTGGTCCTTGTTTGCTACAGTCTTGACAGTTCTGAAGAATACAGGTGAGGTTACTTTAAAGCTAATGAATAATTCATAAATGACAGTATTTGGCACATTTGAAGGCTGGCTCTTTTCCTGCAGCTTCAAGGTTTTTCAGTTACTGTATTTTAAGGATTCTTTGGTCACCAAGAATCCTTATAAAGATTTGTTTGCTATTAATTCTAACTTTTGGGTTATCCTGAAGGCTTTTATTGTCAGCTAGCATCTCATTAAACTTACAAGATATAGATCAGAGGTCAACAAACTACTGTCCAGGGTCCCAATCTTACATTACATTTACCACCTAACTTTGTAAATAAAGTTTTGTTAGGACTCAGCTATGCCCACTCATTTACGTAGAGCCTACAGCTGTTTTCACTCTATGACAGTGTTGAGTCGCTGCAACAGTGACTATACAATACAGCCCACAAACTCTGAAATAGTTACGCTTATCTCCTTACAGAAAAAGTCTGCTGGCCCTGATATAGATAAATGGAAAGAACTATGGCCTTTGGAAATTAATTGGAACAATATATTAACGGTACAGTACTATTAACTGAAGTACAAGATGAGTTTGAATCCTGCCTTTATGGTGAGGTGACCTCACACGAAGTGTTTTACTTTTTTGAACCTCAGTCTCCTCATCTGTAAAAAGGGAATATCATCATCTACTCTGCAGGCTGAATCAATGTATGCTCTTAATAAATAGTGACTATTATTATTACTTTTATTAATAACTAGAGGCCTGGTGCACGAATTTGTGCACAGGTGGGGTCCCTTGGCCTGGCCGGCAATCGGGGCCGATAGGGGCAGGCCTGCCAGGGGTGGGGGTGGGGGGTGGAGGAAGGACCATGGGAGGTTGGCCGGCTGCAGGAGGTTGGCCGTGGGAGCGCACTGACCACCAGGGGGCAGCTCTTGTGTTGAGCGTCTTCCCCCTGGTGGTCAGTGCACATCATAGCGACCAGTTGACTGGTTGGTTGCTTAGGCTTTTATATATATCCTATATAATAAAAGCCTAATATGCTAAGTTGTCCATTCAACCAATCAAAGCATAATCTATATATATAAAGGGCTAAGTGTCCGTCCGTCTGACCGGTAGCTATGATGCACACTGACCACAAGGGGGAACACGCTCAACACAGGAGCTGCCATGACACGCACTGGCCATTTACAGAGAAACGGCACCGTGGACCTGGTGCCCACAAAGCAACACTCAGCTTCCCCGAAGTGGGACACAGGCCCCACCACCACCCCAGAGTGACAGCCCACCAAATCACAGCCAACGCCGCCAAGACCCCATGGCGCAAAATGTGGCCCCCAGCCCAGCCTAGAAACGGTGGCTGTGGGCGCCGGGTAATGTCATTGCATAGCAATGCCCAACTTCCTTTCCCTAGTATGCTAATGATATGCTAAGGCTGTTCAACCACTCGCTATGATGTGCACTGACCACCAGGGGGCAGATAGCCAACTGGTTGACCAGTTGCTATGATGTGCACTGACCACCAGGGGGCAGATGCTCCGACCGGTAGGTTAGCTTGCTGCTGAGGTCCAACCGACAGGGACTGAGCGAGACGGGCAGGACGCCCCAGAGCCCTCTCGCGAGCCCTCCCCAGCTGGCCAGCCTCCTGCGTTCTTCCCTGGCCCCAGACTGTGCACCAATGGGTCTCTCGGCCTGGCCTGTGCCCTCTCACAATCCGGGAAGCCTGCGAGATTAAAATCAAACATTTTAATTGACTGTGTTATCCCAGAATAAAACTTACTGTCAGAATAGGGCCTGAAACATCATTACTGTGGCATCTCAAAGGAAGGGACCGTGCTGGCCTCCAGGATGCCCAGCTGCACTGCTCCACTTCCTTTTCATGGAGCTTCTGCAGAAAACTTGGCAGTTCGTCCATTTGGATCGGGACGGAGACAGGGATGCTGAGAGGCAGGGTTCTCATGAGATTTGAGAAACACACACGTTCACTCCCTCCAACACCAAACTAGTTCCAGTTCACAGGAGCCAACAGCGTTTCTCAAATACGCAGACATAACGACGTGTT